GCACAAAAACCTCCTACACATCTAGCAGAATGCTGCTACCTGACTGACAGGGCAGTGGGGATGTTCTCTAACAGAACAGGGTGTTCTGACTCGAGGTACCACAAAAGCATGCATATGCGGAAAAAAAATATTGCGTCCGCAATATTTCAAAAGAAATGAAATATCCGGGCGGGGAACGTTTTCAAGGTGAAACGACGCGAATTCCGAATGCAAGACCGCAGAGAGCGATAGAAATTGTGTCAGTACAGCAGCCAATATACCTCTCCTACAACTTGGATGACTGCGATGAAACTCCAGATTTTGCTTTCGCCTACCATGAATGCCTGGGTTTTGGCCTTACGTTACTTTGTGTTGTGATAAGTTTTCGTCCAGTTCCCGCATTTCCCCGTTGAGAGAAAATGTCAATAGAAACATGTGGCACTGTCTCATCAGCTGCGAGAATCAACCAGCAGCGCTCTACCGCCAATCTCATCCCTGGGCATTACTCCTGCGTCGTTCACATGAGGAAATGTACACACACACACACAAAGACTACTACGTAGTTGTACACTCTGGTCGTCGTGCCGCGTCGACACACCAGAATTGAATATGGGCTGCACAACTTCGAACCAGAACACTGTCGACATACCCTTGTCTCAGCCCCCCTTAGCCCCGGACCAAGACCGACTTCAACATGAGACCGTCACCTTCGACAACAACTCGCAGCCCACCGTGGTGGACAGCGACCACACCTTATTGGACCACGACCGACTTCAACATGAGGCCGCCACCTTCGACAACAACTCGCAGCCCACCGTGGTGGACAGCGACCACACCTTATTCCAGTACGTACCTCGCAATACAATTCACTAAGGCACGTCTCCAACCTGGCGACGTAGGGTGACGTTTTGTATGTGCTCACTTCATGTTTACATACATATATCTACAGCTTTCGAAAAGGGGTTTGCTTGCCAGGGGTGCAGTACATCGATCGACTGATCTGTTTATTGTGGTAGGCCCTACAGCGAAAGCAGCTGCGCTCCCCCCAGTCCAAAGCAGCTCCCGTTGGTGAACCGGCCGCCCCCAGAAACATTGCGTACGACAATGTTCATCGCCAACGAACTGGGGCAGTATCCTGACTCGGCCGTTGATAACATTTGGTCTGAGGCGTCGTCAGGTGCGCTGCCCCCTCCGACGACACTTGGTTCTGGTATCAATATTTGGGCTATTCAATCCATGCCTGGGCCTCATTTGTCTGGAACCAACGGCAACATTTGGGAAAGTATGGACCCGCCAACGAACGATCATAGCAAGGTCGGACCGGGTTGGCAGTACACAGCCGACGACACGACGTATTCTACAACGAGCTGCTTGATTACGTCGGAAGGTCCCGTACAAAACGTGTGGAGCCACATTGACAGCAGCGTTAGCTCAAACTACCCGCGTACAATGTCTTCGTCGAGTTTACACTTCGACGGAAATCACTCGTGTCCGTCCCTTCAAAGTACTACATGTAGTACATGTAATGCCCTATAATAGTATTCCCCATACACAATTAAATTGTCACTCGAATCAGTACATGGAATGATTCGAGCCTCATCCCCATTATTTCTGTGACGTTCGACCTGTCGTAACCGGTTACTCGGCCAAGTCGTCTACTAGTAAAACGATAAATCGTAGGTTTCTCATTCAGACATTGTGCAATTATTCCTGGAGGCGCATTATTCATACCCCAAAGTACAAACAAAAAGTGTCATGTAGTATTCAGTCATGTTAACTGTTAAAGTGTAAGGGAAGAAAATTAGAGCTGTAGAGTGGGGGGCCTTGGACATTCTGCATGTTGGGTTCATTTGTGTCAACTTAGACGTTCTTGGTGGGAACGCCCGCGGCCGGCGTTGGCTCTACGGGAGCAGGACGGGAAAACATGTCACTGTAACCTGGCAGCGTAGCTTTGGCATTAAAGTCGCACTTCCCGGGGGTATACGAGTCGGCGTGGGTAGCGAGCTGGGCCAGCACGCAGCAGTTGCAGCACAGCGCGGCACAGCAATCGGCACACGCTGAGCCAGGGATTTGCAGCATCGTACGGAACTTGTAGCGGAGGTAGAACACGTAGAGAAAGATGAGGAGCCCCCCAAAGCCGGTGAACATGAGCAGACAGGCCACGATGGCCGTGAGGAGGAAGTCCCCCACACCGAGACGCGCCACGATCTGAGCCAAACTCACGCAAGGGCAGCAGCACGCGCAGAGGCAGTTGGGGATGAGTTGGTCGCAGCACGAGAATAGCCCTGCCTTCCACTGCCCCGTGAGCAGGACGACGTTACTTTGTCCGTCGTCGGCTACCACGACCTTGACGTCTGGCATCGTCGTGACTGCAGTGGGCTGGTCTTGGTTGGATGACATGGTTGCGGTTGTAGTGGTGAATATGTGGCTTGAGGGGCCCGAGGTGAGAATGGAAGTGCGCTCGTATACAGACGGGGGATGTCAGCGTTTTGCAACCCCTATAAATAGGTGGGGGGGGTTGTTGGGGTTGTATAATAGCCCGGAATCATGGATGGTGGGAATAGCCAATTGAATGCGCGGTCGAATCAAGATGGCGGGGCGTTGGATTGGCAGTTGTGGACAAAAAGGCAGACAGGTTACCACCAATATACTTTTCGCCATGTTAGCAGGTTTAATTTGCATGAGTTTTCCCTTGGAAAAACGCTTCGGGGTTTTAACTCATTTTTACCGGCATCGCCGCCCAAAGTTGGAATCTTCGACACTAAACACACTGGTCGTTCGTATTAGGGACTGGGGATGGCTTGTAGTGGTGCTGGCGCTGAGGGCGGCGTCGGCAACGGCAGCGCCGCCACGGACGCTGTGTCGGGAACGTCTACCCATGGCAGTCTCATGTTGGACGCCGGGGTGCGGACTGCTCGACAGAACTTGTCCACCCACTGATCCAGTTGGCCGAGGCCAATGAACGAGGATCTGCCCTCTGGTCGACGCGAGTAGAGGACTTCAATCCACGCGTGTGTGGGCGATGATTGAGCCACCGAGTGGATTGGTGGAATCCCCGCAGCCGCACATTGCTCCACTCGAAACTGTACGTGCTGTCGATGTCGCCACCGCCGGAGGCCAGAGATGATCACAGCGATTGCGAGGACCACCGGCACACCCACGACCGCCACCCACGTCCAGGTAGGGGTTGAGTGGGGGGAATATTTCTTGTGGGGCCACCGTCGTGCCACGAAGGAACGTCTCAATTCGAGGCCGTTGAGATGACTCTCGAGGTTCCTCCGGACTTTGAACTTTCGCAGTCGTGGTAGGCATCATCGACTTGACACCCGTGGTACTTGACGGTGTTGATGTTGTTTTAGTACTTTACAATAGGTTGCGAATAGTGAAGAGAGATTGGGAATTCCCCCCCATAACCTCCCTCGGACCTCGGGCAACCAAATAATGCTAATGTATATCCCCAGCTCTAGTGCCTATGGTTCCTCGGGTTGGACCTGTCACTGTTTGGAACATATCGGAAGAATGCCAAATGATCATTTCATAGTTCATTCCATTCTCTTGTAGTTTCTGGGGCCGTGACCTGGCGTCGTGGAGACTGTAAAACTCATGACTGATTAGTCAAACACTGTGCATCGTACTTACAATTCGGTATGTTGAGCTAACGTCTGAACAAAAAGCTATCGTATTGTCGCAATACAACAAAGACGCATGCATGTTAGTCCGTCTTAACTACACGCGTTCCGCCGAATACGTGGCCGCGGAGCTAGGGGCGTCGTATGACGTGGAGGCAGCGTGGGGCGGCGGCGGGGACTGGTGTTGAAACTGCGTTTGGTAGCCGGGCAAGGCATCCTTGGACTCCAACGAACACTTGCCGGGCGTATACGCGTCGACATGGGTCGCCATCTGAGCGATCGCACATCCGCAGCAGCAGCAGCCGACGCAAATATCTTCCAAGACAGAGCCAGGCACGCCAAACCACCGGCGGACGTGGGCGCGAAGGTACACGACAAACGCAGCGACCACGAGGCCCCCAAACCCCGTGCACGACAGCAAGAACAGAACCAGGAGCGTGAGGACGTAGTCAAATAAGCCCAGACGGCCCACCACTTGCGCCAACAGCACGCAGGGGCAGCAGCAGCACATAAGACCGTTGGGCACGGGGTGGTCGCAGCAGTGGAACAGACCAGACTTCCACTGCCCCCGCATGATTTGGCTGCCGTCGGAGGCTGCCGCGTAAGGCTGCTGTGGTTGGCTCGAGCGCATTGAGGAAGGCAGGCTGTTGATTAATGCAAAGTGAGACTGGATTGGATTTCGAAAACAATCCGCGATGGAATGCGACTAGGTTAGTTGGGACGAATATTCCGATGGGAACATTCACGTGGGGGTGGGGGCTGGAGATGGGACACGACATCACTCTTTTCAAGTTGGGAGGGATGTTGACGGGGGGTGACGCTTTACCCAAGTGCAATGTGACAACAGTGTACGGCACATCTAGCACGAACAAGTTCAAGGGGCGACCATATAACAGTCGAGGGGCACAGCCACACTCTGGCTTTCTTTCTCAAGTGTTTATTACTTGTATATATAACGATAATGCTTAATATTCTGATGGGAAGTGTAACCCAATTGTGTGACAGAGTCGACGTCCACCCACCTAGACATTGTAACCAGGTAGTACCGACTTGGGCCGCAGGTTGCATGTGTTTTTCGAGTCGAAGGATTCGATGTGAGCCCCCATTTGGGACATGCTGCACACGGTGCAGCACACCGTAGCGCACATATCTTCGAGCACCTACATACATAACCCATACGTAAATCATTCCGCCCCCACCAAAAAACTCCCGAGTCACAAACAACTATAGCTCCGTACCGAGCCGGGGATTTGAAACGCCAGCCGAATCGTCGCGCGCAATCGATACAAGTAGAACCACATGCCAATGCCAGTGATCAGGGCTACCCCCCGCCCGCCAGCCGTCGACGCGGCGAGGCAAATGAGGAGAGTGATGTACAGCCCCCCGAACGACAGAAGGACGGGGACGAAGCGACCAACGCCCATGCGATGGGCTATTTGGCCGGCTGACACACACGGGCACAAGAAGGCGGTGCACGCTAACAGATATTTAAAAAAATAGAGTATAACTTTTTTCTCGTCATTTGTCGACTGGATCCAACGGGTAGGAAATTACGTACTGTTTGGAACGCACGACCGGATACACCCAAAGAGGTGCTGTCTCCACTGCCCCACACTAATTCCGTTGTGGTCGACACCGTCCGAGCCCGTGTCGAGCTCAGGGTAGTCGTCGGCCGAGTCGTGAATTGTGTGAGTAGGCACGAGTCGGATTATTTTGGCAGGGCCGCCTGTTGTGATGACAAGGGATGGGTTGGGTTCAGAGGTGGTGGTTGGGGGTGGAGCGATCGCTGGGGTCAGCGATGCCTCGGGAACAGTCTGCATTGGAAGACGAGATGGGGAAGGTATGGTAATGACAAGTAGTTGGTGTGCTGGACGCACGCGAAACGTTAGAGGGTTATTTATAGCTTGGGCGTTTGAACTGAATGGGAGCGCCACTCAAGAAGGGCGTTGGAACGATGACTGCAGCAGCACAATCAGCGATGAATAGCTTTCACACACCCAAACCAAGCGGTTCTCACGTTAGGCGAATATGTGCGTGTTGTACTTTATCTAAGACAGTCATGGTTAACCTGGTTAACCTTACTCTATTAATAACTGTAAGTGTATTAATAGTATTAATACATGTATTATTATATTAATAATAGTAGCGTTAGTACTATTACATGATGTGTGAATAATTACTTAATTGCTACTTTTCATGTTATCGTATATGATCCTCGTTAGTATAGTGGTCAGTATACCTGCCTGTCACGCGGGTGACCCGGGTTCAATTCCCGGACGGGGAGATCTTTTTTCATTCAATTGGCAATTTAATAGGTCAATCCACTACAAATTTCTCATGTATTTTATTGTATTGTTTGTACCGTCAAAACCTCTACAAAGCAGTATTTATCCTGGATATATCAGTTGCCACAGTGACCGTTTTTACCAACGTCATTGGCCGAGGCGGCGGTGCCCATCTCGCGTCCACCCCCGCTTTCGTCCGACCAGAAAGCGACGTGGATACAGATCGCCCAGAAGGCATGCCAAGAGACCGTGCAGAATGCCATGACGATGGACGCGCGTCCAATCGATAGCGTCATTACCAACCCTCGGACACGACGTCGAGCAAGGGTACGCACGCACGTTCACACTTCCCTTCCCGATCTCATGTCTTGCAGGTACGGAAGGGAGTTGATGCAACCAACCCAAACCTCGAAGGGTTGACTGCATACACCCAGCTGCGTGCGTCGTTGTCGGAAGTCGCGACGTTCTTCGACTGGGCACGTCTGTCGTCGTCCCAAGTCAAGGCGTACGCGAGGGTGTTAGGCGACGCAGTGCTCGAGCGACAGACGCTGTACCGACTTGTGGATCGCCCCTCTGCGTCCACAACTCGCGGCGGTAAGGTGGAGCACAGTATCAGCGTGGAATGGGCCGTGTTGGCGGCCCCGCTGGGCTTTGCGGCGCGCGATGTCGTGTACTTGGACTGCCAGGACGAGTTTATCTTCTGCGAGGAAGCATCTGGACGGCAGAGACGCGGATGGATTCGCGCGATTCATTCCGTGGACGTTCCAGGGTACGGCGACTTGTGGGCCAGCCATCGGATCCGCCGCACGCATGTGTTTCGGGTACTTTAATCTCTCGCTGCGTTTATGCTGCACTGTGTTCTTTTCATACTTTCAGATGTTTCGTTCTTTTATTGTTTTCTAAACGTTTGCGAAAGTCGGAATGTTGGTACATACGAGAATGACGGATGTTTTGTAACTGTAAGTGTAGTCGGGTCATGTGTTTGTGGAAAGCGCGCAAGAACAAGGGATCTTGGACTACTACCATGTGCTGGTGGCGGTGGCACCGGCGCTGCGCATGCCCAAGGTAGTGCAACTGAAGATAATGAAGCAGCATGTGACGCAGATGTTGCACCTCGAAGAGCACTTGATGGTGCATCGCATGCTGCTCGTGCTCGATCGGAACCACCCCCCCGCACCTTCCTCGTCTATCTGTGGTCTGTGTGACGCCAAGTTTGGTTTCTTCATCCCGCGTCATGGAGTTTGTCGGTCGTGTCGACAGGTGTGCGAACGAGAGATGGCGAAACAGTCGTAATGAGAATGTGTGGTTGTGGTAGGTCGTGTGCAAACCATGTAGTCAAGTATGGCGCAGTGGCGATACGGTAGACGGTACAATCATGTTGTGTCTGGCATGTGCCGACACTTTGCTCGACGACGACCGGCCAAGGGGGGGTCCTGTGGTCGCGTCCGGCAGTCCACCGATCATGGGAAGGACAACGCAGCAACAAGAACGACAGGACAGGACGGAGACGCGGTCGCGCGAAGGAACGTTTACGTTTCTCAGCTCCACGCGGTCGATGCGGCATACTGTCTTGGAGTATGTCCACCCTACCTGCATATGTACATGGATCGAGGAGTTGATCCATCCCTCATGTGTATGTAGCACATGTGCCATCGAGGACGTCACGGCCATGACAAAGGACTGGAAAGCCGTCGGGGCCGCCACCAAGCGCTCGTGTCATGGAACTGACGCGGCGGTAGATCGTCCTTGCCAAGCTGCTCGTGCCATCGACCCACGGGACCTGAATGACGCGTTGGACGACGTCGTGCGGTTCATGGTGGCGCTGCAACGTGGGGGTGATTTTCCGGATAATGAACGCGCCACTACCGGATAACCGAGCGATCGATATTATTTATTTGCCTCCATAACTAATATAACGTTAATTGGGAAAAATACTATCATTTTTAAAATCCCAAGCATTTATCAGACCCATCGCTTGGCTTTCTTGGCATGGCGCTGCATGGGCGGCGCCACCGCCACATGGACAAACGGCGCGGTATCTTGCTGCAAAGTGCGCAGGGCCGCGAGCGCGTGCTTGGCGGATCCGAACTGTACCCACGCGTTGAAGAAGGGCGACTTTGAGCAAGCGATGTCGTCGCTAGTACTGTCAATGGTGGTGGGGGGGGGACTACAAGTATTACTACTAGTAGTACTAGTAGTACTAGTCGTCTGGCTCTTGCGAGCACCACCGTCGTCGTCATTGTCACCTTCCACGACCAAATCCAGCACTGGCACGGGCGTCACCACGCTCTACTCAACAGAGTCAACCAGAATCAAGCAACAAAAGATGACACTGACAATAGTGTGCTACAAGCTGCATGAAAAACCTACGAATGTAGATATATATTTAAAAACCTAGGAATGTATATATATATCTAAGCACCTAGGAATGTATATATATATATATATATATACTTGGATGCTGGACCATGTGCAAGGCGATGGGCTTGTGACGTGGAGCCACACCAAGTCGTCGTCGTCGTCAGCACCAGGTACGGCTGGGGCAGCACATGTCGGCGTGGAGGATGAGGGTGGCGCACTACAAATGGATCTATATGGATATATTTAGATATTTGTACATATTTATGGATATATGTATTAACTTTGGTCGAACGTACGGGTAGTATGGCGTGGACATGAGGTGGGCAAATTGGTTTTCTACAGCTCGAATGTCCTATATGGATGTCAAGGTACACCAACAGAAGCCCTCTAGTACTCTCTAGATACATCCTATCTAGATAGCAGCAGATGTATACATATATATAGTGTAGGAATCATTCAACCTATAATTCCCGTGTCAACAGGCATACCAAAAATACAGTACCCCAGTCAATGATAAAGCAGATACTAGTGTATATACACTCTTCACATCAAACTATTCATCGCCAGCATATTTGCGCTAGTGTATTCACAAGTATAAACAGCTATTAGAAAACATAGTACCACGTCGTAGGTAGAGGTTGGGTCTGGAATCAACTGCAGCGACAGGATCGACGGCAACGTCCGAAGGTACCCAAACGCCGCCCGAGCCATCGCTTCGTTCGTAAACTTGACGTTACAACGACCCTATGAAAGAATGTATATCGTTAGGAAAACGAATATATATATATATATATTTCCCATATAGATAGATATTGCAAGATATAGGTGGTTGAATACGGCACCGAGGTGGCAGAACCAGACGACAGTGGAATGATGTCGATAAACTCCATGCCGTCGCACTGCGAGACGATCGTCGTGAGCATATTCGCAGGCATGGTACACCCAATATGGAGCCAATTCAGCATAATCCTACCATAATACAAAGCTCGATTTTAGTCAGCTTTATCCAATGGCCCTCTTTAAAGACCATTTGACAGGAAGTATGTACCTTGACGTTTGCTTGGTTTCGTCAGCAAACAGTACATGCAGCAACGATCGGTCGTCGGCAAAGGATTCGACCACGTATTGCGCCGTGGACATCTACATATAGCATAGTATATGCTTTCGTCCAGAGGTATTATATTTCGAATACATATATATCTTCAATCCACCATGGTAGGAAAATGGCAAGACTGCAGGTAGTACACATACGCTACAACATATCAAAAGTGTAAACGTCTATATACAATAGTATATACGTCTTTTTTCCAAACGTAGTATATATATGATATATATAAATATGATATATATATATGATATATATATAAATATTTAATACTTCCGTGCAAGGAAGATCACAAGGCTGCAGGTACGTACACATACGTATACGACAACGTATAATCGTGTGTTTTGAACAATATGCACTTCACGTATGTATACAAATAGAGCATATTACAAGAACATGTTGACAAGTTTCTCAATGGAATAGTATATAAATATATGTATATATATACTATTCCATTGTTTTGACAAGATTCTATAAATCACAACGTTCATATATATATATATATATATATGAACGTTGTGATTTCTAAAGATTTATCAACACACGTTCGATAGAACAATGCATATTATACCTTGGTGTATTGGACATATGCCATGGTGTGGAGTTTGCCTTGGCAGTGCACCATCTGCACATGATCGAAATCGCCATAGACGTGGAACATCGCATGCAGTTCCTGGTGTGTGTACTACACGAAGACGGTGAACAATGCACTTAAACCCGAGATAGGACATCTCGTTGTCCTTTCTCACCACATGCTGCTCATGTACCTCGTAGAGACTCGTGACAAAGAGTCGCGTGCTACAAGGTGGCGGCGGGGGTCGAATGAAGATCGGGGGCGGCGGCGGACGTTTGGGCATCTTTCGGGGCAGAAAGTCCGATACCGCCGCAGCACGTGAATGGTGGTGGGCCGAGGACGGCTTGACGGGCGTTTGCCGTTTGTTGTACGTGTGTGTGTCTGCGCTCGAGTCGGCGTCGCTGTCCTTGCGCTTGAGGGAAGTGGAAACGGTCGAGGATGGTGGTTTCAACGACGACGTGACTGTCATGTCGACGATCTGTTGCACTATGTCGGACAAGACGGATTGCACCAATTGGAGCTCTGTGGGTGGTGAGGGTGTCGACGTTGTTCCATGCAACGACGACACCGTCGCTGCTCCTGTGCGTTTACTGGCGTGGGTTGTCTTGTCGCCTCTGTCGTCCCGCGCTCGCTTTCCTGATGGAAGCATCATCCCACCCTCCTTTTTCTTGCCTTTCGGAGACGACGCGTGGGCGAGGCTGACCTTGAACGTATGCCCATGCACGATTGCTCCATGCAATTTTTCAATGGCCGCCGCGGCTTCTGTCGCCTCTGTGAATTGCACAAATGCAAACCCCTAGGAAATTCATGTCATTCAGACAGGTTGGACTTGGACGCTCATTACCCGCGACTTGTTGGATCTGTCGAGCGCTATTCGTACGGACACAACGTTGCCGAATGGCGAGAAGAGTCCATCTAGCTCCTCGTTCCCGATGAGGCGGCCGCAGACGACAAACAGGCGCGAATTCGGCGGATACACTTGCGCAGGACACTGCATCTTCAAAAATGCGCGAAATCCCAGGTGCGTATCCAGATACTGCATGTTATCCGGATCAATATATTTCTATTTCTACATATTTTCCGTTCCAGTAGATAATATTATTGTCCTGAATATTTGTAGGTACCGGATAACAAGTTTGGTCCGGATTGCCATATTCGAATTCCCCGCGTCGGCGATCAGCATCATGGCAGGAGAAGGATCGTCGTCGTGGCCGCCAGGATGGCCCTCGTCTCTGGAGGAAGGTGTTTCCACCACGCGGCGATCGCGGGAAGGGGAGGAGGATGCAGCTACGAGGTCGACTTCACCGTTCCGTCGTCCATCGTCGACGATGTCTAGTCCGTCCACCAGCGGCGGTGTCGGTGATGTCTTGTCGAAGCGCCGATTTAAACTCCACGAGCCGGACGAAATGATTTTGCATTTGCAGCGACATCAAGAAAAGTTACGATGGCGACAGGTACATATGCTCGTTATGTCCATATGAATGTCAATCAACTCCCTGTCGTAGCAATTGGACGAGCAGGTTCAGGAAAAGACGATGCTAAAGGCCAAAGAAGATGACGAGAAGCGTATAAAAGAGGAGGACCAAGCCCAGCGCGGTACGATTGCATGGATCTCCCACACTTCCACACTAACATTTTGTTGTAGAACGGCAGTACCAGCGGCAACAGCATTTGCGCGCGCAACAGAAACTCGGCCACGTCTCTGCCTTACCAAATCCTCCGAGACAGCAGCAGACGTACGTCTCGTCTGGCGGCACCACGTCCGCAGCGAGCATCCACACGCCCCTACCTCCATCGACGACCCACGTGAATCCCCCGCCTGTCCCGTATTCGTCGCCATCCCGTGGCGGCGGCGGCTCCATGTCCCGAAACGACCCCAACAACTCCCCCGACGTGATCTCTCAAATGCAGGCCATGCTGGACGAGTTGCGGTTGGAGCGCGTGCAAATTCAACTTGAGCGGCAGCAGATGCAGCTCGAACGAGGTACGACGTTGCGATGGGTTTATATATATATATATTTCCATATGTTTGGGTGATTATTATATAATGCTCATTTCTGGCGTTGTCGACTTGGTTGCACTTACTGTATACGACGTAGTACTATTCTGCGTCGTGCTGTAAAACGTGCATTGGAGAGAATATATATATATATATATTCTATTTTTTACCCCTCCACCCATCGTAACGATCAACACCTTGATGATGTTTAGACGCGATGATACGAGAACGCCAGCAACTCGACCACGAACGAGGTACAAACATCCGAGTTTACACTCCAAACGATGTTTATATATATATATATATTTATATGGGTTAGATTTGATGTTTATATATATATATATTTATATGGGTTAGATTTGTTGGCGCGGGACCGTGGTATGGTGCACCCCAACCCGTTCGTGTATCCACCTCCAGCAGCAGCAGCAGCCACCACCACGTCTCCGTCATCAGCATCGCCGTCTAAAAGTCCCGGTTGGACGGATTTTAACGTCATTAGTCCGACGTCAGTCCAGAGAAATGGGTTGCATCTGTCGGAATCGCCGACGTTTTCCCCATATCGAGACACCAAAGCCGCCGCCTCGTCCTCCCGCCAAGCCCGACGGAATGGAGCGTCGGCGTCGCAACCAAGTCATCCCATGGACGACCATGAGCTCAACCCGATGGAACAGTCGTTGATTGGGATCAGTGAGTTTGTGGCACTGGCGTCCGTCGACGACAACAGCCACAACCGACGCGTGATTCAGAGCAGTGGTACGTCATATATATGTGTGTGTGGATTGGAATACGTTGAAATATATATATATATATATATATATTGTGTTTTGGACGTTTTTGGTGCAGAGGATGCGCCAAATATACTGGTCATGGATCGATTTGTAATGGAAGTGTGTATGGAAACTAACCTCCCGTGGCATGATGTTGATTTGTACAGTCGTTTCAGTCACAGGTTATTACATGAATGGGAATATTCTCTGAATTGGCTCAATACTCTGGCCTAAATCCTTTAGATCACTTGGTTGTGATTCGATACTTTCGTTTTGAATAAACACAACAATATATATATATATATATATATATATATATATATATATGTACATCGTATATTGACATGATGTTGTATACCTTGTTGCGTTGCACACTGGCTATTAAACAACTTGTAGGACGGTACAATTGGGATCGAGATCTCGACACTGGGAAAGCTGCTGCGTACACTACGAATCGGTCTACTGCATCAAGTGAGGAGGGCAATATGACATCATCCAAGCTGTTTCAAGTCAAAGTGCTCGTGGATGGACAGCATTAGACCACGTGTGATGAACGTACGACGATGATGATACATGTTCAGTCGTCCGCAGTTTACACGGACGAAATGTATGTGTTGGTGGCTCCAATAACATTAGTACTTGTATTGGGCATGTTTTGGAGTACTATATGGCATGTTTTGGAGTACTATATGACTATATGACGTTACAAGGACCAACCACCTCAGTGTGATTATCTACACCTTGGCTCGATGGACATTTGGAAAATGTGCAATATAAAACATACCCTGGAACGATCTGATGCATGAAACCAGAGCAGAAGAACCACATTGGCAGACAATCGATATACGACCAATCAAAACCCAGAACAAAATGCAACGGGCCAATCAAATCCACTATTCGACCAATCCGAATTAGTGTGTGACTGAAATTAGTGTGACGGTCACTGGACCATTGTGTCAGTACTGTACATAACAATCGATCGATCAATTTGGCAAAGAATCCGCACAGACGTTTCAAGGACAAACAGTTCAACATGAAAGTCGATGGAAAGCAACTTGGGTTGATTACGATGTCTTTAAACTGCATGGCGGCGGTGGCAGCGCTCTTGATCATTGCGATCGATCACGTGGCATGCAGGGTTTCGGTGGTGGAAACGTCTGGGTCTTGGTCGCTGTGAACGTCATGATGCCGCTGCAATGCACCCCTGGCCACAGGTTGAGCTCATGGAGGTTGGGGAACTTGTCTTCGTGGACAGTCGTGAATGATGGGGCTGTGACGACCATCGACGCTGGCTGCATGCGCAATGTACCGCCGAGCACGGTCTGGACCCACGCGTTGTCGGGAGATGGAAGTCCTTGGTCGTCGATGACACGCTCCTCCAGCGGCGGCAGCGCGAGTCCCTGCAACCAGTCCATGCGCACAGGAACGCGCCACGTGTTCACGGACTTTAACGTTACGTCGCATAACACGTCGCCACTAAGTCGATCCTTCACAACCACGTTCGTGAGCGACGACCATGTAGACGGGGACGGCTGCTGCGTCCATGTAAAGTCGGCCAGTTCCTTGCGAATACCCCAGTTCCGACGGCCGTTACGAAGGGACGCCTCGGACGATACATAGATCCGAGTTACGCGCCGAGATGCAAGCAACCCGTGCGCTTGAAGGTACCTTTCTTGAATGTGGTGTTCTACTGCAATGGGAGTCGACGACGATGGAGGAGTGAACGCGCCAGGCACGAGAAGAAGCTCGTCGTACGGACCCACGGGACTGTCGGTGTATCGAATGAGCATGACAAAGCCAGGCCCGGAACCGGTAAAGTCAGCGCGGTCGGCGTCCGAAGGGAGGTGCGCACGAAGCGCGGCTTGTTGTCGAGCGTTGCTTCGACTGGCGATGAACGGCAACACGTACATGCTTCCCACAGAGAGCGTCCATGGATTTAACGCCGTGGGGATGTCTGTGGCTTGTCCATCGACGCCACGGTCATCTTTCGTCGAGAGCGATGACGACCATCCGTCCGTCGCGGTCTCGGCGGTGGAATCCTGCATGGACGGAATATTGCGATTTGGAATGTTTGACGACTCAATTTATTGAAGTCTAAAGTATCATTTTTATGGAAAATCGTTTGATTGGTTGAATTAAGCCAATCATACATCAAATGCTGTCTTCACACAGAATGAGTGCCATAACTTCCAGTTAATAACTCGTTAACGTTAGATCCTCATGCAAATTGGACAGTGTTGGTGTATTTGCAAAGCGCAATTGCTTTGGAACAGCATTATAGGTCCAGTAAGCTCATATACTTGCCAAAAGACCCAAAATCCCGAAGATTAGAGGAGTCGGACTTTCCGCTCTTTTAATATAGATCAGTTGATCTTGTTTTCACCTTGCCTACAATAAAGTACGAAAGACGCCTTCACTTTGTATTTGTATGCCTAATCGTCTATCATAGCGAATATGTAACCGGATTCTGAAACCGCCAGCGTATCCGGACGACCGTGTAGATCTTTCCTCATTTGTGATCCGGCCATGTCATCCCAAAACCTGCTCAAGAAGCCGTCGGATGGCGGGATGGACGACAACGGCATCACCACGCACAAGTGGAAGGTGTCGCTCTTTGGGTGCTTGGACACCCTCGTTCCCAACAGTACGTCCATGCAGTATCTCCCAACCACATCCCCTTATCTATCCCTAGCGCTCATGACGGTGATCTTTCCGTGTGTGTCCGTGGCGCAAATCGCAGCACGCGTGGGGTTTGTCAACTACCTCACGGCGCTAATTGTGACCTTTGTTGCGTACATCTTGTTCCTCGTGGCGATTGGCGTGCACACGACGGCATTGGACGTGATCGCCGCGCTTGTCGGCATCGTCTCGTTTGGGTATTTGTGGTACATGCGCACCAAGGTGCGGTTCCTGTTTCACATTCCAGGTTCCATTGTCGAAGATGGATGCGTCGTCCTCTTCTGTGGATGGTGCTCCATCGCCCAGATCGCGACCCACGTCGAGAGTTACACCCCCAACGAGTGTGCATTTGATGCCAAGGCCACGCTGCCAGGATACATCGTCTAAGCCTAACTGTCGTTTGATTTCTTTTACGTTGAAGTCTCAATCGTACAATATTGCGATAATGTTACTAGTATATGGCAAGTCGGCACTGACCCGCCCTTGGTCATCAATTCAGAGCGTCGTTCATGGGACGATGGTCGCAGCATACATGAGATCGGCGGCATCACAGTACTACTAGCTACTCTACGGTGCATGTCGTGTGTGTTAAACTACATTTACGGGGGTTGAGTACAGTACTGGACTTGCCGCTCGATTGAATCGTTCAAGTGGTCGAGAGTCCCCACAGTTCGTAATTCGTTGAATGAAAGCCCTGGATGCAACTGCATGACACAGTCAATTCATCGTGTATGTATATTTTCTACAAGGTACAATCTAGAGACGGTAGCCTTGCAACGTGGCCTTGGCATCGAACGAACAGGCGCCAGGCGTGTAGCTTTCGACATGGGTGGCGATTTGGGCAAGGGAGCAACAGCTGCAGAAGATGGTACACAGGGCATCTTCCCACCACACACCTGGGATTGCAAACATCGTGCGTACTTTTGTGCGCAGGTTCCATTTGAAAATGGCAAGACCCACGGCAAGGACGGCCGAGAGCACATTGAGCCACTGGCGGTTCAACGAGCCCGCTACAACGAAGTACACAGCTAACGAATACGTCGTGATAAGCGCTGTGGTGTATGGAAACGATCCAAGCCGCGCCAAAACTTGGGAGAGAGTTACGCACGGGCAGGCAAACGTCATCAGCGCTAGATCCGAAGTCAGGTCAAATAAACGTTGCATGGAGCGACATACCATTAGGAACGAACGTGTCGAAGCAGCCAAAGATGGGAGCTTTCCAGTCGCCAGTCTTGATGCCATTGCTGTCCACGCCGGGTTCGATGAGCGGCACGGTAGCGGCGTCAGACATGATGCTGCGAGGTGTCTGGTTGGAAAGTGAAAGATCGCGTCGCCTGGGATGAAATCATCCGGATAACGTTGTGTATGCGGAATTCAAGTACAGCCAATAATATTGGATCAATTTGAATTCGAGGTGTTTGATTGGTTGATTTGCATAACAAATTTTAATACTTTGTTACAAAACGCGCGAGCTTTGTACTGGAGGATTGTATGAATTGAGTTCAAATTTGAATTTATTTGAGTGTGTTTTATTTGACCTTCGCGCTCAAGTTGGCAGTCCCCATTTGCCACTCGCCGAGACAGGCCGCCATCGCCGTCACAACCCCCGCTATATCAACCCCCCATGATGATGCATGACAACACAGACCGGAAGAGGAAGCGAGGAGCGCTGGAAGACATCAGTAACACACACAAGTCGTCGAATGTGGTGCCGTCGACGCGCATGACCACCCGGCTGAACCTGAAAGCGGCAGCCGCCCAACAGTTGACGCAGTCACAAACGTCCGTGTCCGAAACTCAATCGACATCGCCGAGTCAAGAGGACGTTGATGCACCTGTCGTGATCTCGGCGAAGAAGCGAAAAGCGAGCCAGGACGTCGTTCTCACCACCGCTACCTCAGGCACAGGACTTGTTCATCGGAGATCATCATTATCCGCAAGACGGGTGTCGCTGGAGTCTCAGACACAGGAACAGCGAGAGCGACAGCGGATGTTCGATGTTCGCATGAGTTCGTTGAGTATGTCGCGATTCCGTCGACTTGGCATCGATGATGACTGGCTGTGTAGGCTCGGAATTCGATTTGGATGTGTATGTCGATCAAGTCCGTATGATCGACTCCAAGGAGAACGACGCGATAGCCCGCGAAGTAGACATGTTTCACCGTAGCCACGAACACAAGTACCGCGTCCAATCAGATTACCTAACCGAAGTCAAAGATGGGGTCAAGAGCGATATCAATTGCCGCATGCGGGGCATCCTCGTGGACTGGCTGGTGGAGGTCGGCGAAGAGTACAAGCTCGTGCCGCACACGTTGCACTTGGCGATTCATCTTGTCGACCGATGTTTGTCCACGATGAGATTGGCCCGCGGGAAGCTGCAGCTCCTCGGATGCGCGTGCATGATTCTCGCATGCAAGTACGAAGAAGTCGTCGCACCCAGCATCGAAGACTTTGTGTACATCAGCGACCACACGTACACCAACGACGAAATGCTGGCGATGGAAACCACCGTGCTGGAAGCGTTAGAGTACAAGCTCAGCGGAACCAACGTCTACCACTTCCTCGAGCGGTTTATCCTGGCCGGATGTACGACAGAAGTCCAACAACACTTCGCACATGTAACTCCCACATACATTCTTTCCATTCCCCAATTCACCTCTATCCATGATATAGTACTTGACTGAACTTGCTGTCGTCGACTATTCCATCACGATATCGTACCCACCGTCCATTTTGGCAGCGGCAGTCGTGTACATGACTCGCCTCGTGACCGACGAAAAATGTCCATGGGTATATTGTTGTCATCTCCATACACTCGTTGCTCTAACAACCAGTGGTTAGACGCCAACGTTGCACTATTACACGAAGTACAACGCCGTGCAAGTCGTGGATTGCGTGGCGCATCTGTACAAGATCCACGACGCCGAGTACCAAGTGTCGCTGACCGACCCAGAGAAAACACGAGCTGTCACGGACAAGTACTCGACGCGATCGCATGTGCGCGTGGGCAAGTTGGCGCCCGTGGCCCCACCTTCGTCCATGTCGTCGTAACCGTGGATCATCATCCCCAGGTCGTTGTTCGTCACGCCGGCGGCCTTGGAGTGTCGGCGCCATAGTCACGGAAAGCCAAGCGGTCGGATATTTTAATGCTTTCAACTCTGGTTGAACCCTCGATATCTGATATATGCAGTCTGTGTCCCCCGCTCAAAAACTGCAAGACTTTATATGTTGCACCATATCCTCAATAATGCTGTATGTGGACACTGTTGTTCTCCATATAAGGTTAGGTCGAGGTCCCATTTTGAAGCCGCGCCACGGCCGCCGCCAACGTGTCCGTGGACGTTCGCGTGGCATTCAACACCAAGTACTCTTCATGGTCATCCAACACAACTGCATCAAAGCCAATCTCATGCAAAAACGCCAATGCTTCCGGGACACATGCGATCTTGGCTTGGATCGCGCCATTTGACAGCCGCAACTTGTGGAACTTTTCGTCTTCGGGGTGGTCCAGTATGTTTTGAAGGATCTTGTGCATGGTCGCGGCGGTGGCCGGTGGGAGCGACGGCGACGAAGGACGTTGTTTCGACGGGGATGGGACGTCCCTTGATGTGGGTCGGGATGGAGATGTCTGCGCTGTGATCACGGCGGCAGACCGCGCCGCGGTCGATGAGCTGATCGTCGCCTCATACCTAGGACACACACATTTCAGGACCCTTGGAAGGAAGGGGCGGCGGTAGATGATGGACGGGCGTACATACGGATTGTATCCTGCTTCGGCAATCCGCAGTTTTTCAAATGCTTTGGCTTGTTCGAACGCTTCCGACGTCGACGAGTCATCTTCAAATGCATTGTCTGGTCGTGTCACGGAGCTGTCGACATTCGCGGGACGTTTCTTAGGTGGCGGCACACCGCGCTTGGCCGCTGCTTCCGCCTACATCAATCCACGATGAAAACAGATCCTTCCTGACGAATCACATGTATGAAGGGACCTGTTGCTGCCGACGAAGCATGCGCTCGTCCTCAGACAAGTTAGAGTCGGCGGATGCAGGCCTTGGGGGCGCCTGTCGAGAAGGAGGCGGCGGTGGTGCCGCCGATGGAGTCTGCATGGAGTGTCCTGTGCCGGAAAAGGTCTGTCCCTTGACCTTCTGGTCTTTCTGGATCTTCGCGACCTTGGACGTCACTTCCTTCGTTTTCTTCTTTAGCCAGTCCATGCTGGAACTGCCGCCAACTGCCGCCGCTTGTGATGGGTTTTGTGGGATGGGGATTTCGTAAATACCCGACAGTCTGTCCAGTTGATAAAATAAATATAATGATACATCGTCAACTGACTATGTGTGTTTGAATTAAATTAGAAATATTTTGGTGTCCGTTACCGGTTTCATATACCCGGATATAAGGGTAAAACGTGTTTTGAATGCGGTCAAAACACATGGGCCAGCTTGAAATTGACACCCGCCATGGTAAAGAAGGCCACAGATTTCGATCGCATGCTTCGGAAGTACAGATTTCTACCAGTAACACGTTAATTTTAACTATAGTTAGCAGTATATTCGTGTGAGCTCTCATACTGCATCTCGTTCCTTCTCATAGCATGTTCATTGTGCGCTGTGTAACCCATCACTCAACCAAGTTCGCTTTGGGCCTCTTCTCCCTTTGTCTAGTTCTCACAGCTTGAAGGCACCGTCCAAGTTATTTAATTACCTAGGGTATTGTAGGTAATAAAATGCCTGTTTATGTTGAACTCAAGTTCAATCTTTGAGGGTGGAAAATATCTTGCCCTAAAACGTGGTCGGGGTCGTGTACCATTGATACGAACATGAAGCTTAAAAGGTTGAACCGTCCACAACGAATTGTTTTGAAATACCGACTCTATATACAAAAGACAAGATGTTTCCCCCTTCAACATTGATTTTTATTGATTTCAGCATATTTTTTGTATTTGCGGACGATGTCGTTCGTTGAACGTGTTTAACGTGCCTTGTACAAAGTTTAACTTTGCCGACGTTCTCCATCATATACACGTTAAACTTGTTTAACCTTGCCACGTTTTACCAAATTGAAGGCGTTTTAAATGAACATACAAAAACCAAGCTTAATAGTGAAACATATCCTTCACATCCTAGTCGTTGGTCGTCGTATTGACCCTGAAGTTTGAGGCGAGCCGTGGGTTTTCTATTCTTATCGGCGACAGCACAAGCATGAGCACCGTGAAGGGCGTGGACGAGTTATCTCCTGTGGGGAAACCTAGCGGCGGCAGTGGCGAGCAGCGATGCGGTCCATGGAGCGACGCCGAAGTCGCGTACGCGACGCGGCTGTCGGACGACTTCAAACTCGGCCTCCTTTCCGACGTCCCCAACGGCATTCCACTTCGCAAGTGGTTGAGCGAGAAGTTGAATTGCACGCCCATGCGATTGAGCAAGAAGTTTGACAAGACGTCGGGCGTGCTAGGCATGTGCCGCTACACGTGCAACGTCATGACGATCGCGAGCATGTCCGCGGAAAAGTCCAAGCGCCGCCAGGAACAGTTGGAGTCGCTCGAAGCCGCGTTCCGCCAATCTGTGCAGGACGAGCACCTGAAACTGTCATCATTTGAGATCCAGCAGACGCATTTGCAGCACCAAGCGACGAAGAAGCGGAAAAAGTACGCGGCGGCGCTGTTGAAATCCACCAAACGCCCTCGCCCGATGGCCGGCGTGAAGGTATTTGCAGGGCAGCCACATCAGCAACGCAACACAAACAGCAGTAGCACCGTCACCCCGAACCAAACCGACCTGAGCGTGGGGTTCCTGCTCTTGGAGCTTCAAAGGGGCCATGTATCGCCTTCGTCCACAAGAGTAGTCGACTAATGCTGTAATGTCATGTATGTGTATGTTGTTCCCAGCGCTAACTCCGTGCAAAATGGAATCGCGAGTAGAATAACCATTGATACCAAACAGTACAACTGCAAAAAATACACGACAACTTCAACGTTTTTGCAGATATTTATACTATTAATAGTATTTCAACCGTATCAAAACGAAAGATTCGATTTCATATTAAAAGATAGTGTTTGTTGTTTTACTGGTACCATGGGAAATATCATTTTGGCCAGATAAATAAAGCCCCCGAACAACCCAGATCTCGCTTCGAATTTTGATTGGTTTTCCGCATAACAATATAGCTAATCAGCGAAGAGTAATGTCAGATTGACCAATGGGAGTGATTATTGTGATCGGTTTGGTCGGGGAGATTCGATTGATTCGACGGGGCCCGGAAATTTGTACCAAATATACTCATCACAAGATATTTTTTTTGCTTTACACTGTACAACCGACTTCTTTTGAAATTTCAAGCACAATAACCATGGCTAGCTAACCATTCGAGAATCGTGGCATGGCGATTTGCAGTCGCCCAGGCTTTAGCTTGCATCGTACAGCCTTCGCGACGATGATCATGCAGAAACATAAGCAGTTCCAGATGGCCCTTTGCTGCAGCCCAGTCCATCGCCCAGGTCGTACAGCCGATTTCTGGTCTAACTAGCAATATAAACCTGCTTTTGACAAGCTACAAGTAGACAGACCTACCGATGATAATGGAGCCATTTTACCACTTCCAAATGTCCATGCAGTGCAGCGTAGTCCATTGCACGGGTGGTACCGCCTTCGAGTCTACTCGAATCCGTTGGATTGTGGCTAGCTTATTTACATGATGATCGTTACAACAGGAGTACCGATTCATATGGAGCCATGCGACTACTTCCAAATGGCCATGGGATGCCGCGGCATCCATGGCAGAGGTCGTACACCCCTCGGATCTAGGTCGTACAATTACAATCATGCTACGCAAGTTTGGCCGATACTCATGTTTTGTACGCACCGATGGGCGTGTAAGAACTGGACAATTTCCAAATGGCCACCTTCCGACGCGCCGTTCATGGCTTGCACTGTAGCTCCTTCAGACTATACATTGAAAAAGCTCTAATTATTGGTTCATATTCAAGTGAAAATAAAATCTTCAAGAATTCAATACCCGATAACGATGCAAGAATTGAACGATGCCAAGATGGCCATTGGTCGCTGCCATGTCCATTGCCGAGGTCGTACAACCTTCAACCCGCGTGGCGTGTAAGAACTGCACAACTTCGAAATGTCCATTCGCCGCCGCCATGTCCATGGCTATGGTGGTGGCCCGCCCTCCACGCGATAAGAACTTAACGATTTCCAGATGGCCATTGCCGGCAGCTTGGTCCAATTGGATAACCAACGCTGGGTGCACCATGGCGCTGTGGCGTAGAAATTGTACGACCTCGAGGTGGCCATTGGACGCTGCGCCGTGAACGGCGGAGGTCGTGCAACCCTCCATGCTAATCAATCGTGTTGATTTGGTATACATGTATACATAATTTTTGCACGCTCGTAGTACCGATTCGAGTGCAAAAATTGCACGATCTCCAGATGGCCATTGGTGGCCGCACCGTCCATGGCAGAGGTCGTACATCCTTCGATGCGGTGCACGTGTAAGAATTGGACGATCTCCAGATGGCCATTGGTGGCCGCCATGTCCATGGCCGAGGTCTTACAATTCTGAACGCGACCGCTGCAGTGCAACAACGTCACAATCGCCAAATGTCCTTCACTCGATGCTCTAGTCATGGCAAACGACGTCGCCACCGTCTACATGTCCCCGCGAATCATCACATCTTTCAAATGACCATGATTTAGTGTACGATGTACGACCTAAACTTCCATACAAAAAATGGAGACCGAGCAAAACCAACTTACCTTAGGATACATATCCAGCAGCCACCGAACTGTAGCCTCGTGGCCATAGGCTGCTGCCCAGTCCAATGCATTCGCAGACCCGCCGCTGCTTGGTTGGTGTGCATGTAGTGCTTGCAGTACACCTAGATGTCCACCTAGATACAAGTGGAAACTGATGTTTGTATTTTTTGGAGGGCGAACCTTTGGCTGCAAAGTCCCATGTCAAGTACGATACAATGCCAATGCGGTGGCTCAGTAGCCACGTCACGGTGGATGTATGGCCGTGTCTAGCTGCGAAATCAACCGCTCGTTTCGAGTACATGAGTTTTGGGTGCAGTTTGCACATGGCAACGTGACCAGCGGTGGCGGCGGCATCTCCGTCCGTCCTATGAGCATTCGTCGCAATAATCGTAGGTAAGCTGACGACGCAATGTAGTACTAGTCGTTGTTGGACAGAAGTACGAGATATGTGGGGTATTTTGCATCGTAGCCAATTCTGGTAGAACAAACAAGTGGCATGATAAGGAGGAAGGAAGTACTTACCATGCACGAAATGCACGACCGCATTGAAATGCAAGGATGCCGTGGATTAGGAACGATGAGCTCAGCACACTCAACGCTGCAGAAGGTGCCATGAAGGATCTATAGCTTGGGTTGGTCAAGATATGTATTGAGCAAACAAATACGTGGGAGAATGTAGTAGTAGTTAGTAGCAAGGAGAAGTCAGCTTCACGAACGACAGTACATATGTACCATCCGACAAGCTCTATGGCGCATCACCAAATATCACATTGCGCAAATGTCTATGAAATAGATGGTTGCTATCCGGAAACCAAGGTCGTATCCGGTGAAATGGCTTTGCCAACAAACACAAAATGCAGGTATGTACATAGTTGGTCCTTCAACCTGGTAATACAGTAAGTAGGTCCCTCATCAAGTATGAGGGTTTCTAAACTACTAGTACTGTAGTATTTGAGAAACTCTATGGAAACGACGTGAGCTACCCTCAACTGATGACCATGTAGCGGTTACGCGCCGTTTCGCATTGTTGCTTGATTGTGAAACGGGAGTGGTCAATTCTCCAAAGATTGGTGGATTTTGGCGAAGTACAAATGTATATTACGAGTATCTTAGATAATGTCGAGACTTTTATATCGGTACTCGCACACGGGCATTTTTGTATGGATATCAAGTCGTTCGTTAACTTTTACTGTTAATTTACGATGTATGTATGTATGTATTGCCCACGTCTTGATAATTTCGAATTTTTAAAACACCAACACCTCCAAATATTAACTGGATCTTACTTCGAAGTATAAATAACTGTTACTATTAATAGTATTAATCCTTGAAGTAATAGTGACGACAAAAAAATGCAGACATATGATTGGGCGTTCTATTCACGTGTCCATCTTCAAGGTGGGTATTTTCCTAATCCTTGACAGCTATCATCCTACGTTCCCAAAAAAACATGCTTTATTATGTTCACCTCATCATCCCAATAAACTATACATTGGGCACAAACCGTTCAGACCTATGCTGGTCTGTGATTGGCCACTTTCTCCAATGATGGTGTGACGCGCCGGACGTGGCCTGGCCTTGAAGTACGAAATCCTCGACGGTGATTGGTCAACCCTTCAACTGATACTCTCTCTACTCGCATCGCCACTGCAACAGCCATTCTCTGATCTGCATCGCCGTGCCCAATGCTCTCCCTGGTCAAGTTCGCCGCCTTCCCCACGCTGTCCATCCGTGAGACCCACGGCCCTGTCGCCACCTCCGGAACGTCCGTGCAACCGGCACAGGACAAGACCACGACCAAGGATTCGGCGTGGGAACGATCTGGCTGGGCGTTCATCTAAGAGCTCCCTCCCAACAAGGCATCGACGAACAAACTCCGATGCCCCTATGTACACTATACCACCCCCACCCCAACTTGATTTATTGGCCCCAGCTGCAAGGCTTTCCCATCATCCAACCGACGTCCACATCGTGGCTGCTGCTTCTGCTGCTACCGTAGGTCGGATGATGCCACACGTTTGAATACACCTATCTTTATGTTTACGTCACGAGACCCTTTGGTTGCATTCCTGTTAAACTACCGCCGTGATGTGGTTCGAGCGCAGGTGATGTAATCCTACGTTGCCATGTTGTTCCCACGACACTCGGAACGTTCAGCAGTTTCTGCATGTAGTTGGCACGTGAGTTTACTTCTTGTGTTGGGCTAGAGTAAGCAGCAATGGAGCATCTTATGGAGTCGAACGTTCGATTTCTATAGCGCAAGTTTTGCCGTGTGGATTGATTTACCCATACTCGTATGATGATTGGATGAAATAACACTCCACATTCACATTTGATTGGGTCTCTAGTCTCCAATTGACGTATGATTGGTGATTAATAAGCCAAATCATGGATGTATACATCGTTTCCACGTTTGATATGTAAAAATATCAAAAAAGATAACTTCGTTGTTGAAAAGTTGTAATAATATTTGAGTAATAAACATGGGGTTTTTATAAAAATTACGACTGATGTATCGTGGACATGTAAATCAGAAGATCATTTGCCAGACAAAACGCTCCAGTTAATTTGATATGGATGTCCACGAAATAGCCGAAATACATGATGGCCCAACTGTACCGACAGTGTTTAATTAGTGTATGACCAAAGTTGTGTGGATTGTATGTACATGATGAGTACTACCACCTACAATTGTACTAACTATGTCGACATGTGTTACAAATAACGTAGCAGAGTATATTGAGTTAGTTGTAATAATATATTTACATTCGTAGAGTATTCTTGCTCACGTTTCAACAATGTATAGAATATATATATATATATTCTATATCAATGTCGAGACCTACATCCATGTCTATGTTTGTTTTGATGTGGCGATGTCGTAGTCTAGATCTGCCATTCAAATACTGCTATAGATAGTACAGTTTATTGCTTCAAAAATGAAATAATTAACCTGAAATAACAACTCTGTGTTATTTATTATACATGAGCCCATACTATTAATATCTATAGAACCTAAAATACAAAGTATTTTTCTTGGATTGATTTTTGCTTTCCATGTCATCATCACTACTCGATGGGTGTCACTGCTGCATTATTCATATATATATGTTTTATTATCATACTAGTATGTAGTGTTGTAATGTCCGTATGCAAACCAAAATATATCCGTGGTATTTTCAGAAATATATATATTTATATATATTTATATTGAGGTATTAAGTTGTTGCTTTCAAGGACAAAAGGGCGGCGTCGAGGCGGTCGACTTGGGCTTGTAGCTTGGCGACTTGCGAAGCCAACGCGTCCACTTGCGTCGCTTGTGTTTTCACCGCTAGAGATACAAATATATTAAAAATATATATCGGAAAACCCAATACTCGGCAAAAAACAGTCCGAACCGTGTACATATATATATATATATATTATATACCTTCACATGCATACACGAGGTACACCTCCACGACAACATTACAGCTCACAACGTACCCACCACAATATTTATATATAAATATATATATGTAAATTTATATTTTGAAGCAAACACTAAAAGATACACCACAACACCGTAAATACCTTATATATATATATACAAGTGCATCAGAAAGGCATGAGCAGGTAGCTAGTCATACCAACTGTACACGCAACACAACCACCACGTATATATACGTACATCAAGCCACACGATTGGATTTTCTAGTTTGATTCATATAAATAAATATATATATATATCACAAACCTTCGACGAGCACGGGTACAACACGAGAGTAGGCCACGTATTTATAGCCATTTTGATCTGTCGTGACCACCTGCGGCAGCACCAGCTCCATTTCCTGAGCAATAAATCCCACTTCTTCGCCACTTGAAAAATGTTTATCTGGGAATCCACTGCGATTATACGTGTACGTGACCTAGTTACAACCAAAATATTATCAAAAATATATAGAAACTGCAAATGTTGCTCCACAATCTGTATACTAGTAAATAGAACTGAATATTTATCAACACAATCATAGATGTACACAAAGTGGTCACGTTGATTTATTGGAAGGCATCGCCACCACATCAAACAAAGCAGTTTGATTGGCTCAAATCATACTCCTTTGTTCGATATGATTGGCTACAACGAATGACAGGATTCACTAACCTACCTCTTAACAAACAAACCTCTTAAACTTTATATATATCATCTTTTGACGGCCAACCGCGGGAGGAAAATTAGGTACCCATCACCATACAAACAAGAAATACAAAACAAATCGATACAAACACACTTTATATTCGTCCAAATATCAAAAAACGTAATATATATATATAATTCGAATCGACTATATGCAATCTCTAAAATCAACATGGGTCGATCGAAACACAGGTAGGTAGGTAGGTACTGTACACTGTACGCCCTTCGTCATAGAATCGACATCGTTTGATATCTCGTTTGATATATATATATATATAAATACAATAAAACCCTCTATATATATATATATGTAGATCTGTACCCCACGGAGCTGTAGGACAGTGTCGAGAGCGTTGAAAAGTGTGGATATGTTGATTTTGAAGCGACCGTCGGACGAATCAACGTACGATCCTGAGCCCATGACGTGGCCGTCCACGGAGAGACTCCCGCCCACATATGCATTGGACTCGACATACATTTCCCCAGTCACTTCCATCACCATGGCACTCATGTTGATGCCCCGGATGTACCCGCCAATGATATCCACGCCACGCAGTTCGCTACGATATACAATATTATATATATATATATATATATTATTTTCAAAATTAAACAGTCGTGGAAAGTGAGTAGTTGTGATGCATCTATATATTATGACGGATACCTTCCATAGGTTGTGAGTATTTTTTATTCACCTCGGGGTTTATAATAGTCGATGACATTGCAACATCCAATTGGTATACAATGCACTCATATATATATATATTTATATATTTATATTGAACGAGCAATATCTCTGTTTCCATCTCTCGAATTAAATATATATATAGATAGATGGATGAATAGTAACGCGAATATACTAGGAGGAATGAAATAGCCTTAGGACTAGTATATACACCTTCAAGACAATAGTACTGTAATAAACACTCGACCACCATCCAGTACATACATACATAAATATATATATATAGATATAATCTTGCAACTCGTATATCCGTATATATATATATATATATCCAAGCAACCATCATACCAGGTCTTTGAAGCACACCACTGCGACGACGATGTTGAAATCAAACACAACAATCATATAATATATCCAAGTCCCAATATTATATATATATATATATATATATATTTATATTTATATACCTGTTGGTCATATCAATCTTGCCAACGACCTGGTCCACCTGCAGCTGGTGCACTTGCAGTGTGGACGTGAGCGGGTCGAAACCGAGCGATTCATCCGACGTCAGCACCCCTCCCTTGCCATATAACGCCACGCGATTGGCTGGCTGGCCCCCGACCTAATTATCATAAAAATATATTTAAAATACGAGCTCATATATATATGCTATACTTATCAAAATAAACAACTGTTCCCGAGATGTGTGTTACTACTCTCAGGATACTATAACCAAAAACACACAAACACAGTACAAACACTTTTTCTATATATATATATATATATATATAATCTAAACTTTTCTATGTGTAGTACATCATGGTCATATATATATATATATATCAATAAACCCCATGCCATGTCTACGATTCTTCGTATATATATATAAAATACCTGCAGCGAGTGCGCTGTGAGCTGAAACGCGCCAAGGTTGAGGTTGGCCGCGGCGGTGAGTTGTTTGACGTTGGTGAGGCGAGTGGTGTCAAATTCAGTGGCTGTGAGTGTCTGCCACTTTTGGCCATCAAACACGAATAAAGCTGACGAAAACGGAGGAATTTGGAGGCTTTCAAGGCCGTCGGGGTCGCTTGTTTGGATAATTAGGAGCTGCCCGTACTCTGCTCCGTCCACGGCGATGGTCTGGGTGGCGTCAGGCGTCTATAAATATATATATTTATTATTTATTCGATAAAGTGTTTATGGTCTTTGAGGACGAAACCAAGGCATTGTATATATATATATATATATATATATATAT